CATGACAGGCGGACATGACGACATAGTTTCACTATGTGAAACCATAGGGTGTGTTGCTAGGGGCACACAAAGCGTATCAACATGTCTCAACATGACTATATTTAATACAGTCAGTTTAAAGCACTAGTGCATTAGTTCTATATTTGATCATATTTCCTGATCATTTATACGTAAATCGTCCTGAAAAATAACGCTTATTTAAATATCATGCAATAATTTGAAATTTGCTGTTTCACTGGTTTGACTTTATGCTATCCATATATCTTGACAAAATATTTCATTTTACACATGATAGTTTATAGTTTTATTTTAAACCGATTGTATTAAATCTAGTCACGTTGAGACACCTGGATACACTTTGTATGCCTCTAGCAACACACCCTCTGGTTTCACTTAGAGGAACTATGTCGTCATGTGCGTCTGTTATGGCGGCTTACCAACGCGCCTTCTCTGATGACATCATTGTCTCTACCCCTTCTCTTCTTCCCCCAAGATTACCTGACGACTCCTACTGAGACGAAATCCTTTGGGCGCAGGAGTGGAAGGATAACTACTTACATTATTTCTGCGTCCAAGTACAGATAGGATTCACAAGAATTATGAACAATTTTATTTCAACATACCTGAGTAAAAATATATATTTCTTTTTTATGCGTTACGACATATCTACAGCCCTAGCATCTACATATTGGAGTAATAAGTACATATAACTAAGAAAAACCTACATTTTAAACTTTTTAAACAACAATCCAAGTTTGCTGATACGTGTAGTTTGAGTTGATAATATGAGAGTTTTAGATGAGAAAGTTACTATTTATAGAGACTTTATAAAGAAAAGTGTTTAATAAGGTTTGTGGCAGCTTTTTTTTAATGTGTGTAAATATGTAACTTATTTTTCAAAAATATTCCAGTTGTGCTTAAAAACATTAAGTAGAATTTAAAACTAATATTACCGCTAGGGAAAGTCGCAATCTAGGTAGCATGCAAATCAGCTGCTTTATAAAAGCTAAATTACGTAGTACTTGTTACTTACGAATATGACTTCGAACATAATTTAGTTAAGATTATGATTCTAGGTTTAACTAGTGTGTAGTAAATACGTAATTCCCTGTTAGTTCTATGGTTATCTGTTCTAAACGCTGATAATAAAAGTTTTAAAAAAGGTTTGTTTGTTCTACAAAGATCAGCCTTATCGTTAATCCTTCTATAGCGCTACAACTACTATACAAAATCATTTCGAGAACATGAACAATTTTGTTTTGTTTTTAATCGCCAAGTTAACATTGGGTTATCTGTCCTGTGCCCATCGCATGTATCGAAACCAGATTTTTATCGTTATAAGTTCTCAGACTTACAGAAGAATCAGTGTGGTGGGGTTGAGAATAACCTAAAACATTGAAATATTCAGTAAGCCTGTTAACAATCGGGTGGAAAGATAAGTTTAACCGTAAGAGCTGTTTAATTTTTCAATTTCGTTTTGAAAGTTAGGATGTTTACCAGTAAACATAAAATTCATCAGTACTAGCAGAAACCCGCAAGATATTTGTGGTCAAAGTAGTATCTTTATTGCAACAGTTCTTCTTTAAAGACATGACTTCTAGAATAACACAAAATAATTCTAATCGCAGACATCAAAATCTGTTGCATTAGTTAAGTTTTTATTAAGTGCGGTCTATATTTGATAAAGAGACAATTTAACGCTGTAACTTGTGCACATTTTTTCCTTTTGTTTAGTTAGTACTAAATTTTACCGTACTTAACACTATCAATAAATAAACTTATAATGTTATTCTACGAGCTAATGTTAGATCTTTTTAAAAACTTTTGTTAGGCTTTTAATATGTTGTTGTACAAAATGTGTACTAGAGTATATTTACCTCTGCCTTTTGTTAATATGCGTTGAAATGAAGTGCACGTGAATTTTCAGGACAGTCAAAAACCAAGTATTATATTAATATAACGATGATTACAACAACTGTACAGGAGGGAGGAAGAGGTCTTTGATAGTACCAAGACATACTAGAATACTCACTACACTTATTCATTTCTGTGTACATGTGTACATCGAGGATGACGTAGCAGCTACTTTAGTAAACATTTCATACATCGTACTAAGTCACGCACATTTTGATTGTTTTGAACACTTGCCACTTCTTTAAGGGAATGTTACCAAGATTAGTAACCCCATGTAAAATAAACAACAAAGGCGGACTCATACATTGAGTTTTCATTGATCAGAGCTCCAACAGTATTTATATATTTATTGGTTCGAACACTGCAGCCTAGAAATATTATTTGATGTATGTCAAAGTTTATTAATTTTGGATGATAGCATTGAATTTATAACATTAAGAATTAATTATCTTAATTTGGGTTTTCTCTATAGGTCACGTAAAGCTATTTAGAAATATTTCTGGAAAGTTAAAAAAAAAGGTTAATTATGCTAAATAAGGAAAAAGCACCATTTACTACAGTAGGAGATTTTAATATTAATCTTTTAAATGACCATGGAAAGCATTATTGGTCTGTATGTTTTAGTTTATTGTAATCAAAGTAACAATATAACCAATTTTAATTTGACAACAAGAGTAAGAGAAAAAAACACAATACATTAATTGATTATGCTGTCTCTAATTTTGAAATGGTTGGAATGGAAGTTGCATGTTCATTTATTACTGATCATTATCCTTTTTTTATTTTATTAATTATTTTAATATCCCCGATAGAAAACAAATAACTTATAGAAAAATGAATGACATTAATATAAATACATTTTGCCATAATCTAAGTGTAATTAATTGGGATATTTTTTTGGATATGCATGATGTAAGTGAAGATTCTGAATATTTTTGAAAGTTTTCTTTGGTTATTACAATAGCTGTCTGTCTGTAGTAACAAAGAATGTGACATCGAAGAAAGATATTAAATTTAATAAAAATATACTTTGGGTAAACAATTTTATAAAAAAAAAATACGAGTAAAAAATAAATTAGCTTCTGAAGCTAAATTACCTGGTTAATTATGATGATAGAAATAAGTATATTGTGTTTATAAATAAATTATATGGTTATATTAAAAATACCAAGAAAAGTTATTATGATGGTATCTTACTTTCATATAATGATGCAAAAAGTAAATGGAAATGTATAAATAATAATAATTTATTATTAAATAAACCATCAACGAAATAGCCTATTTGTGATATAATAGCTGATAATGTTACAATAAAACATTCGTTAAGCAAAGCAAATGCATTTAATGTTTTGTTTTTCTAATTGAGTATAGAAATTGGGGAAACATCTTAATCACGATGATAATAAATACAATTCTGATAAGCCAAAAGATAATTTGACCATATATATATATATATATTTGTGAAACCAATAACCGCTAGTAAACTAATTGATATTGTAAACAATTTAAAAATACTAAAGCAGTTGGGTTGGACATTATCTATTTAGTAGTTATAAAAACAATCATTACGTCTATTACTGTGTTATTGTAATACATATTTAATTTAATATAGAAAAAAGTATTTCTAGATTCTTTGAAAAAGGCAAAACTAATACCAATATTAGAACAGGAGGATACAAGACAAATTATTACTTATAGACAAATAACTATATTAAGCATCTTGTCAAAAATATTTTTAATTAATTTACAGTAGACTTTGGGATTATATTGATAAATTTGATTTATTGACTGAATATCAGTATGGTTTTCAAAAAGGCAAATCAACACAACAAGCTATTCAAATTTTATGTGAAAGTATTATTGATGAAATGGAGAAAAGCGAATTTGCCATAGCAGTGTTTTTAAACTTATCTAAAGCATTTGACTGTATAATTCATAAGTTATTGTTAAGCATATACTCAATTGAAATAACAGGTAAAATGTATAATTGGTTGGAATTTTATGTTTATGATAAATATCATTGAAAATATCAAGAACATTTTTTTATCATGATACAAGAATTAATGCGGATTTACCACCTTTTAAAATGGGTCAATGTTCAATAACTTATATAGGGGTAAAAATATATAACGTAATACCAAATAATATAAAAGAAATATAGTGTTTAAGGTTTGTTTTAAAAATTATCTATTAAAGTTCTGATTTACTTAGTTATTTCTATATTGAATCAAAAATATTATGATACTTTTGTCAGTTAGTAATATCTAATATATTACATATTATGACTTTTCTTCATCAACATAATACTCTTCTTTATATTAAAAAACATCGGTAATAAAGTGTGCTTATTTTTTCATCTGTTTATGTTTTACATATATACATATTGACTGTATATACAATTAACATTCTTAATGAAAGCTACTTTATCTTCTAAGATTGCTTATACCTTACTGCGTAACTCGTGTTTTTGCAGTAATAGTTTTGTGTGTGTACGTATATATATATATATGCATTATAATGAAATATTCTTCGTCCTGTAAGGTTGTTTATACTCTAGTGCGTATCTTGTGTTTTTACACCAACAGTTACGTGTATCGTAAAGAAAGGTACTTCGTCATTTAAACCTTGGTGCGTATCTTGTGTTTTTACACCAACAGTTACGTGTATCGTAAAGAAAGGTACTTTGTCATTTAAACCCTGGTGCGTATCCTGTGTTTTTACAGTAACAGTTTTATGTACATGTATATTATACTGAATTATACTTCTTCTTGTACGGTTATTTATACGCTAGTGTGCATCTTGTGTTTTTACAGTAACAATTTTGTATATTTATATATATTATAATAAAAAATAATTCGTCCTGTAAAGACATTTATAAACTCAGAGTTTTATGAATATTCGACACGAAAACGGTGTCTATTCTACACGATCTCCACATAGAGACCATGGACTGGTTTATCATAACGAATCCAGGTGGCTTACGGAGATAGAGGTATAGAGAGCGTGCCTGGAAGAGCTCGCACCTGGGAATAGGCCTTATTGGCATGTATTTTCTACGTGTACGGAAATATCATTTTGAACACTACAGTTGTGTTCGTGCAGAACTCCTCTGTAGACGGAAGAGAAATACGATGCAGGTAACCGTATAATTTCTGTAAGGTGAGTGGTTGTGCGTTTTTCAAAAAATTCCGTATAACTTTACCGTTTCTTGTGTGTGTTCCAGGAACAGTTACATGAGAATTTTGTAACCGTTATAGAAAAGTAAGCCACTCTCACTTTTAAAAATGATCAGATATATATTTAAGACACCTGTACCAACGTAACCTAAGGTTCAATTTTACAACCGTTTCAGTGTAGCATAGTAAACCATTAAGTTCTTTGAAAATGATCAGATACATTTAAGACACCTGTACCAACAGAACCTACGTTTCTTGTTTACGTTACCGTACCTGCATGATGCAAATCAACATACCACCAGGAGTCGCTGATCTCCTAATTTTCCCGTAACCACTAATTGCTTGTTACTGAAGACGTTGCTGATAGTGACCGTTATACTTTAAAATACATTATCGTTTTTGTTTAAAAGTGTTAACGAAATGTAATGTTAATTAATAATTAACGCATACATTTAAAGATATCCTGCATTTTTATACATCTTCTGTTAATTCGTGAAATATTAACACTATATCTATAATTAAAATAGCGTTCGATGTGTATATCAATTACTTCTGATCAAAGAAAGATACATGCATATATATCAGAAATAACCCTGTAAGTAATGTAACTGTTTTAACATAACTGTCTAATGAAAAGTGTATTAAATGTCATAGAACAAAACTTCTAAAGACCAAATGCTTTAATTCATCAGCTCAGTGCCTCGCAGTATCTCCGACACCCAAATTAGGATTAACAAATTAATTACTTTCAAAGTTAAGAGGGTGTTACTGTAATTTCCTGATTTATTTACATCTTCCAAAGCTACCTAAAACGTTAACTATACTCTATTAACGACAAATACGAAACGCGAAAATGGCACTACATCATAGTGTATCTCAAAACCATTAATTAGCTTCTGTTTGAACTAATAGCTTTGTTGCCATGGCGCAGTTGAACTAATGTCAGTACCAGCAGACTGGTAGACAATACAGTATTTGAAATGCTTTTCGGGAAAGAAAACTAATAATACGTTTAAGTAAAAGTATCTGCAGCGATATCCTTTGACCTGTTTTTACCTCTCGGAAACTTGTGTGCTAATTTTATAGTTGACTTACTGCGATATTCTTTAACCTGTTTTTACCTCTCGGAAACTTGTGTGCTAATTTTATAGTTGACTTACAGATCAATGCCTATTTTTTTCTATCATAAACTATATAATAATTAAGACAAGAAGCCTATTCACTTATTGAAAATTGTACATTACACAGATATTCCCTAGTTAGAAGGCCATAACAATCTAATTTAAATAAGAAAGTTGGCGGGAAAGTTATGAACATTAAATCATTATGAAGTTCCACTTTATTTTTCTAGACTTTGCACTAAACAGGTCAAATATCTCTTTCAGAAGCAAATAGTTTTGATTTGTGAAAACTTTATCATAATATTTCATGATTTCAGTATGTTTGTATCACTCAAAACACGCACCCCTTTCTAACGTTACAATTAAATACATTTATGATCAACAATTCGACCCCGGGTGAAAGGTAAGCTCTGTACTTCATTTATAAATTATTAAAGTTTAATATTCTATATACTATTAACCTTATAGTATAAGTAACTTATATTCTTTAGTTTGTCGTAATATTTATCGTTGTATAACTTACGTAAACGATTATTCTATAATTTAGGAATGTATAAAATAATTTTTATCTCTCGAAGTTCAGAGGTATATGATTGGCGAATATAGCATATCATAAAAACCGCTTGCAAGATTCCGCAGAAATTTTCTATATTGAAACAAATTTTATCTTTAGTTGAGAAGTTATTCGTTTTCGAAAGAGAAAATTCGTCAAAGATGTCGGAGGGAACGTTATGGAATTACAGCTGTTCAGACAAAGGGCTTTTCCTGCCTCTGATCAATGAATTTACTTGGTCTCGTGAAGCCCGCGCCTTTCTCTACTTTACAGGACTTATTTACTGTTTCCTAGGCGTTGCTATCATTGCAGACATTTTTATGTGTGCCATTGAAAAGATAACCAGCAAGACCAGGAAACTGGTACTTTCTTCTACAACAAGTACTGAGCCAGAAGTGATTGAAATCCGAGTGTGGAACGACACTGTTGCCAATCTTACTCTTATGGCTTTAGGATCCAGTGCACCAGAGATCTTGTTATCGATTATCGAGATTGTCGGTAATGGGTAAGAATCTCTTTTTTTATTATTAATCGTAGATAGAACATCGCAGACAATTTGTCAAAAACTTGCCCTAACATCGTACCACCGAAGTAGAAAAAACAATATAAATTGATGAGAACAATGTTGGTTGAATTCCAAAAATTCATTACACTAAACTAGACTATAGTTATTCCAAGTTACAGGACCAATTCGTTGAATCTTGTAAAAAAAAATGCATAAAATTACTATCAAATCATAATTTTATATGTACATAATTGTAATGAAATGATGTGATTGTTTCCCACTTGTAGTCCATACCTGACTGTATATAACAAGAGTATAACATTAAGTTTCTAAAAAAAGAAAAGCGAAAGATCTGACCGGCTGTGATTTTGTACTCAAAGTATTAAAGCATTTTTTTTTTGTAGTCTTGAAGTAACTCCTAGATCAAAATGAATAACTTTATATTTGAGTTACGTTGGAACATAATGGTTTCAATCTGATACGCTATACATGATTTTAATTACTGTTTTAGAATTTACATTATTTTTTAGATACTTCCACCACAAAGTATTTTAAGCTCAGAAGATAGAATCTTTATCCAGGTTAAACTTTACTCCGCTATTTAGACGATGATTATTTGTGCATGTTCCAAACTTAATGTGTCTTCCAGGTAAATAGTATATTATTCCCTTTCCTCCCGATGATATCTAACTTTCCTGGATTATTATTCCTAGTCTCATATACTTGCATATGACTGATATTTAATTTAATAGTGAAATGAATAAATCATTTTGGAATTGTACTGGAAATAGATTCAGTCAAAAAATGAAATAATGAGAAAACACCAACGTGGAAAAAGTTATCTCACAATAATTAAAAGAAAGGAAAATGTTAGTGGTGAAAGGTAGTAAATAAGGGAATGTATTATTAGGAATACTAATAAAATAGTAAAAAAATAAATAAAATAATAAGAACACTAGAATTTGAAGATAGCTTTTATATGCGGAAACATCTGATGAGATGAATTCGTTCACAGATCTTAAAATATAACGTTGATAAACATCGGCACATGTAGATATGTAGATCTTGAAAGTCGAGTTGTTCAAAATTTGAAAATAGCGTTGATAATTGGACCAATTGTTGGCTGAGATGTTGCAAAGGAAATATCTGCTGAAGTTTTTCGCCAGACACTATTCATAGCTGAACCGTCTGGAAAATGATCTATAGGAAATAGTACAGCTTATAAAATGAGCCAGATGAACGTTGGCCGGTAAGGCAATCACTGATTGGCATGTCCTTACACCAATCAGGAAATGTCACAGACCTACTGAAGGATGTGTAGATTGTGTATGAATTCGTTTTGGCGGCATAACACAGGTTTATGTGTTTTAATAAACGTAGCTTCCAAAATATAGAGATGAAAGGTCGACAGACCATTTGCAATAGTTTTAAACCTGCTATCCGTGTAGTTGTCAACACAAGTCGGGTTCACTAGTAAATGCTGGCCAATCGCTGAGTCACATTATGGTGGTAGAACTTTTGTTTTACAGAAGCAACAGGGTAAATTATTTTCTTTCACACTCTTATTTCTTATGGATGTGGGTACATGTTGTTTAATTCTATCCTGAAATATTTGTGAAGTGCGACCTACGTACAGACATTCGCAGTGGCACGAGAATTCATAAATAACCATGCTTTTCTGTGTGGTAGGTATCGCATCTTTGTGTGTTGCAGGCAACAGCTTACGTGTAGAATAAGCACAGTAGGGGTTCACTGCAGGAAAACATTTAGTAATGGCCTTTTTCAATTGTTTTTCATATGTTGTTGAAATGTTACCCATCCATAGTAGTTTTAGGTAAACAGGGCACTTGTTGGGACCGAATTTTGGGTCAGTTGTGAAGCTCGCAATTTTCCTTGAAGTAATTTGATTGATGACGTTTTCTGGATACCCGTTTTCTAGCAAAATAGTTATAATTGTCTTCAATTCGAAATCTAGTTTAGATTTGGAACATATAACTAGAGCCCGATGTCCTTTGCCGCCAAAAACAATTCCTATACAATCTACACATCCTTCAGTAGGTCTGTGACATTTCCTGATTGGCTTATGGATATGCCAATCAGTGATTGCCTTACCGGCCAACGTTCATCTGACTCATTTTATAATCTGTACTATTTCCTATAGATCATTTTCCAGACGGTTCAGCTATGATTAGTGTCTGGCGAAAAACTTCAGTAGATATTTCCTTTGCAATATCTCAGCCAACAATTGGTCCAGTTATCAACGCTATTTTCAAGTTTTGAACAACTCGACTTTCAAGATCTACATATCTATCTACATGTGCCGATGTTTCCGTTCATCAACGTTATATTTTAAGATCTGTGCAAGAACTCAGCTAACAGATGTTTCCGCATATAAAAGCTATCTTCAAATTTTGTACACCAAAAAAAAACTTTTCAAACATTAGAATTGTTGACCAATGGGAAAAAAGATTAGAACGAAAAGTATTGTTGACCAATGGGAAAAGAGATTAGAACAAAAAGTTACTGGATTTAGAAAAAATTCTACTGAATAAAAGCTAGAAGACTCAAAAAGTAAAAAAAATGATGCAAAGTAAAAGAAAATGGGATAAGAAGAATCATAGAAAAGAGTGAGAACAATACTTAGGTGGAAGACTAACAGACTAAAAGAAGTATAAAAAAACTAGAACAACTGAAAAAACAAAGTAGTAATGAATCTGAAAGTATAAATAAATCTAATAATGTTCAAAATAGAAAATTATTACACTTTTAAGATTATATACCAAAAAGAAGAAAATATCGTTGAGGGCAGGATACAGTAATAATAAGAAACAACGAGAAAAAGGAGAAAGTGGCAAAGCTTTGGGTGTGTAAAATAGAGGTAAAATTATGTAAATCAAGTGAAATAAAATAAAAGAGAGGATAAAAATACAAAACAAATTATAGCTTAGCAATGATAAAACATTGAAATGTAGAAGAACGAATTTGAAGTAGAAGACTATGAGGTAGACAGAAAATAAATAGAATATCGATGATGAACAGATTTATACCAAATGAAAACAGTAAGAACGATAAAGAATTGATAAAGTAGAGGTTAACTGAGCAAGTAAGGAGAAATAGAAGAATAAGTGTAAAAAAAAACAGAGCTATAATTATAAGTATTATATTAGAAAACTTAATAATAATAGCACACTTTCTTGAAACGTGTAGCAATGTAATCAGAAATCCAAATTTTTACCTATGTTCATGTTGTGGTCACACTGAGCTCTGACTTATATTATTCTGATTCTAGTAGATTCCCTATCGCTCTCTCTTCGGCATTTTCATCTGTATCTCATTTTTGTATCTTCAATTATTCTTTTCGCTCGCCCATGACTGATGGAGTTACGTTGATTAAAACATAGATCTGATTGAATTACTACAGCAAAGATCGAGTGGTCTGTTAACATTTTCATGATTCAAAACTATAACAAAGAGCTTAGTAATGGCCACGAAATAAACTACGATAGTGAGCTGGGCATTACGAGAATCGTGTAAAGGTCAGGATCTCCTCTAACATTTTCAGTAGAAATAGTGACGTATATCCGAGAGTATGTTAGCATGTGGTGAAGCTAATTTTTCAGGCAGAGAAGATCAGCGTGCTGGTAATTGAAAGAACACCACAATCGAACCAGTCTTTGTATTTATAGACACACACACACACATATATGTGTAACATAATACATTACTGCCCTATTTTGTAATTATCCAAAAATAAGTAACCATACGTAAAAAGGCGCGGAATCAAATTAACTCTGCAACTCTTAGATATAGCTTCAGGATAATGTTTTGATAATAAACTAGCGTAATTACGTAGAACAATCTAACTAATAGAATCGAGACTTTCATACTAGCAATTACAATAATTTTACGAAACAAGAGAATCCTTACTTGTCAATCTGAACAAGGAATAAAGTAGAAAAAAGAACGAACACCATCAGAAGCTTGTTTGTTCCAGGTTGAATTCCTGTCTAACTTGTCAATCTGAACAAGAAATAAAGTAGAAAAAGAGCGAACACCATCAGAAGCTTGTTTGTTCCAGGTTGAATTCCCGTTTTACTTGTCAATCTGAACAAAAAATAACGTAGAAAAAAGAACGAACAGAATCAGAAGTTTGTTTGTTCCAAGTTGACTTCCTTTTAATTTCTCTTAATTACAAATTACTGCCTCAACCTTGTTTTTTGTGTTACTGAGAAATATGAAAGCTGCTTATATTGTTTGTATGGCTTAATAAAGTCATTTTAAGTTTTTCGAGGAGAGCCTTTATAAATTATTATACGAAATTTTTAAGCAGTATTTAAAAACCGAATATATGTGAGGAAGTATTATTTTATCAACTATATGAACTTATTAAAAATGACTAACAGCACCGAGTAAATCTAAACTAATCGCTCACAGAATTCATTATCTAAATTAAAGTATTATTGATGAGTGTCCTACAAACCATGACATGATTACTCCTGTTTGTTTGAGATGAAATTGAAATATAATTCCATATCCAAAATCCACAATAAACATGAACGCAGAACAATTCCCCTTAGGCTCTTAGAACAACTGATGCATAATGTATCAATGTGCTTTCGGTTGTTTTCTTTTAATTTCCATTTGTAATCCTCTATCTTAAGATTAGCTATTAAGAAATATAGTTATTGCTTTTACGCCCTACACTGTATACCATTACAAGGAAATACTTTTGAATGGATAAACCACAAGAACGTGACAACTAATTTCATAGGATTATTTTTATATAATTGCTAATATGGTTTTCGTGGTTTACTTATTAGAACTGTTTCTTGAAATTATAACTTATGTAATAACTGCTTGGTCTAAATCTCATATCTAACAATTATTTTTGTGTGCGAAAAAGTTCAGCACATTTATCAAGATTACTTTTTTTCTTCAAGGTTTAAATCTGGAGAGCTGGGTCCTGGTACCATAGTAGGATCTGCAGCCTTTAACTTACTGGTGATATCAGCTGTCTGTATCATTTCTCTGCCTTCTCAGGAAACTCGCAGAATTCGTCTCATAAAGGTACAAAAGAAACTAATATTTGGAAGACCTAGATTTTTTATAATATTTCAGAAAATATAGCACTGCAAAGAACAGGATATCTCATTTCACATCAAATAACAGGATATCTCTTTTCACACCAAAGAATAACCATATATACCCCAATATCAGAACACGGTTGCCGAGTATTCTAATTTTAGTAAATTTTTACCAAACAGAAAAGTAATAAATGGAAAATTTACGATCACTTCTATTTAACGAGATATCAGATGTGTAGTTAAGATCTCAAAACCGAACCAAATAACTTTATGATTGCGATGTGGTTTAGAAGAATTATACAAGGGAAAGAAACATTTCACAGCACTACTAGTAGAGCTAAGTACTTACATGTGAGGCTTATTAAGATAGAAAACTCTAAAAACCTTTAAATGTAGCGCAATTATTAATCAGCTTGTTATAGTTAATTATTTCCCCAAAAGGGGGTCGAAGGCCGCCTGGATGGATCACCTGTTGTAACCACTCGCATCACTATACATTAGTGTGTTGTCTGTCAATCAATAGAACTAAAACGACATCACATAAAGGACGCCTAACGTTGCAATTTGTACTGTCGTGACGTCAGTAAAACGTGCACATGCCATGAAGCACGAGAAGAATTATCCACTCTGTAGGCTACAACACAGCATGACATTGAACATCAAAAGGAAGAAATAAAAATATTTTTTTGGTCTTATTTACTCTTGAAAGAGAACACTTTTTGTGATTATCGTCATGTACATCCAAAACGTAGCAAACGAAATTGCGTGCAAAAGATTCTGTACAATTACTTGTTCTTTAGGTCCTGACTTTTTTTTATCTTTCAGGTATTTGCTATCACCTCGTTTTTTTCAGTGTTTGCATATATCTGGTTGTTGATAATCTTGGTTGCAGTTTCCCCAAACGTAGTGGAATTGTGGGAAGCTTTGATAACATTCCTTTATTTCCCTGTTCTTGTTGTGCTTGCTTACGCTGCAGACAGAAACTTCTTCAGGGGGGATAAGATGAAACGAGAAAAGCAACTGGAGCTGGAATCCACAGAAGGTATGACAAGTAAAGGATGTCTATATCGACTCACGCCATGATTTGTGGAAGGTATTGTGATGTCACAGATCATGTGAAATTCACAAGCCAATCACTACCTGAATGGTAGAGAAACGGGCAATCTATACATGTCTATATACGTATATTTGTTTGCTGATAGAAATAACAAATACAATTATTATATGTTCATTTTGAACGTGTGCTACTGCACTTAATTGTCAGTACAGTTAAATGTGTTAAGAAAACTTGATGTTTATATATATATATATATTAATCAGAATATAGAAAGTTAGAAATACTATATTTAAGTTGACATTGTATGATTTAACAGGCTTCACGAAATTATATCTTCAAATCATCAAACGTTTGTACCAACAACTGATATTTAATGTGCACGATACTGGCTTTGAATATAACGATATTCTGAACATATGAATACTTTACAGTTTGACATTAATATAAAACAGAATATAAGTAATCAGAGTTTGAGATGCGCATGCACCACTCTAGAAATAATAAAATACGAATCTTTAGTGTGTGGAGTGATATGTTACAGTCACATACAAGAAAGACAACAGGCTATTATAACATGGTAATAAGACATTTGTTTTTCAGTGTTCATTCACGAAACACTATACGCATCAGTGAGGAAAAATAACTGGTAAACGTAGGTTGGAAAATATTTAATTTATGATTTATATAATTTTATTATAGACAAATATTCTTATGCGATAATATTTTACACAGTGCATAAGGTATAAAATACGGTGGTTACGATGTAGTTAAACAAATGGTTTAGACCTCTTTGTTTCTTGTTCAATTTTACAAGAACCATTTTCTCTTTTAACGAAAATAATGTTTAAGATTCACAACTTATTTTAAAGTCATTCAGACTAGTACAATATGAAACCAGTTATAAAGATAGTTAAAATCGTTCTATAAATATTTTGTAGTTAAGGTCGTAGAATAATTCAAAAACGTTTAAAAGATATGTAAACGTTACATTGGTTATTTTGTGTAACAACTCATAACCATTTTATTGGGACAAATAAATGACATTGCCCCAGTGGCATAGCGGTATGTTTGTGGACTTACAATGCTAGAAACCAGGTTTCGATACCAGTGGTGGGCAGAAAACAGATAGCTCATTGTGTAGCTTTATGCTTAACTACAAACAAGCAAACAAATAAATGATATATGGAGAACCATATACTACAGCGAAAATATTTTAAATGGACATATATTTTCACAGAGATCTTTAAAGGATTTAAGGATTTAACAGTATACTGATCAACAGATTCAATAACATAGATTTTAAGATAAAACAAATAAAAACGCAAAAACAATCAGGATATTTAGTTTTTAGAGTTATAATTATGTGAGAACGAAACAAAGCATAAAAACAAGTATGTATTTTTGGTACTTCCAGATATACTGTTTTCTCGTACAGTTAAGAATAATAACCGCAAAGCTTGAGAAAAGTCAGGAAATGTTTTTCAGAAGTAAATCTGAATATTCTGGCTCTGACTAAGCTAGAGGAAGAGCCTAATCACAATGTAAAAACAAAGGAAATGGTGATATTTTTTAAACAACATCGCAACTCAAAGTTAACGAGAGCACAGGACACCAAACAGCGTTGTTCTAATCCGAAGAGCAGGCTTGGCCAAATCCTGAAAATAATCTAAATAATGCAGAGTTCTAACGCTATCTTCGTCAATATTGTTCACTCCATTAGCGAATAAGGAGGACATAACTTGAAGAAATCACCTGATCCGCCAATGGAAGATATCACTACTCTTCTTTATATAGTATTTTACTTCATAGTAATATTTCCCACAGGAAAGTACATGCGATACCAAAAAAGAATGACCCAGAAGAATAGATAACTAGGTCGAAACTAATGGTCCCCCAGTGGGACAGCGGTAAGTCTATGGACATAATAGATAATCCAATGTGGCTTTACTCTAAAAGAAACATACAAACACCGAAAGTAACGTATACACATTCTAACACACTAGTGTTAAAACTACACAATCGAGTGAAAAATATTGGAAGTCTACGGAAGAAAAGTAACAAAAAATTGCTTTGCATATCACAGTTTTGTAGAGACTTCGCCCAATGATCATTTAACACATTATATTTATCTGTAACTTAATACAGGAATACCTAAGATATTTTTTGTATAGAAAACCGTGACAAACCTACTTCAGGAGTACTATCGAAGCCTGTTATTGATATTTTGTATTCCATGAGAAATACGTTTAATTCATGCTTATAAAGATAGATATTCCAAAAACGGTATTAAAGTAGAATAAAACAGCCAGTTTAAGTATTTTGTTTCATCTATACTCGTCGCTTCTTTCAGACTCACAGAAAGAGCATTTTCTAGATGGGCATGTTGATAAAGACAGTTTGACTAAGTACCTCAAGGTAAGACTAACAAGTTATATTTTCCAAAATACGATACTTTATTGGTACACGTATTTTGTACTTTGTAGTTGATTAACTCAAATACTGTGCTCTTTTATGAATCAATTCTCAAAACTATAACAATATTAACCATGTGTAACAATTCATAGACGATCTATATATTTAGTCAATAACTCAAATATTGTGTCCTATTATTGACCTATTTTCAAAAAAATAACAATATTCAGAATGTATAACAATACACAGGCTATATATATATATATACGATAATCCAATCCCACCCGTTTTATTTTAGTGTATTTTTTCATCTAATCAATACTTCAATCTTAATAAGATAGCGCAAGTAGTATAAATAATATTAGCTATTGTTCATTGTGGTGCAACAATATGCTGCTAATTTAACTTAGAACGTCTTATTACACTTGAACGTAAATGATACAGTGAAATATAACATGTTATGTATGCTGCTAAACCAATTAATAAGCATTTTACACTTATTCAAGCATGAAATTTTACTCTTTATGCACTGCTCTTCGAGATATCTTCGTAATCTGGCTATATAGTCATTCACGTTTTCCATTCTAGAATCGTTTCGTCATCTATGTCTTTGACAACATTGTTATTCCTGGATTCCATAAACTTAACATCCATGAAAGCTCCTCCAACATTTCCTATATATGTGTTAATTGCTTCTTAAGGCGATGATTACGATTTTTAGTATCATAATTTGTTTATTTTGATGTTCAAAATTTCATGTTTCTTACTGTGATATTATTACTTGCTTAAATGAGTCCGTGACTTAAGCAATGTTTTCACTCAAGTCAAGCCTATTTTCTTTTGAAATCTTATAAATTTGGTAATACAACATGACATCAGACCTTCTTCGGTTGGCCGACATAATCTGGGTTTTTGTAACGAAAACATATTAAGGACTGTGTAAATATTATGAATTAAAGTATCGAGTGTTTGTAACATTGTAGTAAAAGCATGGTTTAAGTAATGGGAGTCTTAGTAACATCACAGTAAAAGCATGGTTTAAGTAATGAGAGTCTTAGTAACATCACAGTAAAAGCATGGTTTAAGTAATGAGCGTTAGTAACGTCACAGTAAAAGCATGGTTAAAGTAATTAGTGTTAGAAGCGTCATATTAAACGCATGGTTTAAGTAATGAAAGTGTTAGTAACGTCACATTTTAAACATTATTTAAATAACGAGTGTGTAAATAATGCCACAGTTTAAAATTATTTACGTAACCAGTATGTTAATACCGCCACAGTTTAAACATTATTTACGTTACAAGTGTGTTAATAACTCCAGTTTAAACATTATTTAAGTAACAAGTGTGTTAGTAACGCCACAGTTTAAATATTATTTAAGTTATAAGTGTGTTAATAACACCACAGTTTAAGCATTATTTAAGTAACAAATGTGTTAATAACGCAACAGTAAACAGAGTATTAAGATAATGAGTATCTTTGTAATGTTAGGAAGTCCGTAAAAATCCCGAGCTAACTGATGAAGATGCAGCTGCTGTAGCTGCTGCTAGATTGATGGAAGAGAAAGAACATTCTCGAATGTGGTATCGGGTTGGAGCGATTCGTGCCATAACAGGAGCAAAAAAGCCTAAACCCCAACTTAATGAGAAAATACGCCAGGTAGGAAACGTTTATCAAAATACAGTGCGTGAATAGCTTCTAATTTACTTTGTTTGTATTCTATATTAAACCTAACAGGATCCTTTAAGAAAGTTAAATGCCAATATATACCACAAAAATGTCCTTATACAAAAATATGGTAACTAAAGCTTTAAAAATAATAATATTGCAAAATATTCTTCTCCTGTGTGGGTTATTATGTACTATCAGTTCTTTATTTACTTATACATCAGTTAATTGTATACTAGCTACTTTATTGTTTCCTTTGAAATCAGCTTATTGTTTACTATCTTTCGTTACTGTTCCTATTACATCAATTTATTATGTACTATCAGTTCTCTATTTACTTATACATCAGTTTATTGTATACTAGCTACTTTATTGTTTCCTTTGAAATCAGCTTATTCTGATGTATAGGAACAATAACGAAAGATAGTAAACTTTTTTAATATAATTTACTGACAATATCAGAAAACTGTGTAAATTGTTTTTTCAAATAATAGGACCGACACAACAACTCTTGATACAATGCATAACTAATTTCCAAAGGAAACGTATTTTATCGTAATATAACAATGCAGTATATCGTGACAAAATGACAAGTCTGGAGATACAGTGTTGTACAGAGCATTTCTGAACCCTTTGACAAACAAAATTATTTTAAACTACATATGATTAAAAACTTCAAGTTATAATTACTCATACTGATATTATTTGTTTTGGTAGGCAGGCCCATAAAAAGTTATGAAACACCGTGGAAAGTTAGGTGTAACTTTCCAAGTATGAAAATTAGGCCTAGGGAATAATGCACATGCTCACAAATAAATTATAAATCAATTTATGATGACTAGTTTGGTTGTTTCGAATATTCGAGCAAAGCTACATAAGCACTATTCAATGTTGAACATATAGACTAGAGTGAAGATTGCTAGTCAACAGAATCCACCGCCAACCCTTAGGTTACTCTAATCGAATAATTCAATTTGGCTGTCATTCTTATAACGCACTCACAACCTCAAGTGCATGTCGTGATTTTGAAGCAACGTGATTCGAACCATGAATCCTAGGATTCACAATCCGACAAATTAACTATAAGGCCAAACCCGGCCCTAATAATATTAAAGTACTAACTTAACTAGTTACAAACAATTAACAAAACATGATAATTTATACCAGTTATTTTCATTACCAGTTTTCAATATTGCATTAAAACATTAAATATAGGTAAATAGACGTTTTCTATTTCAAATTTCAACTTTGCTGGATGAAGAAATGTGAAGAAATGGTGCGCGAACTGATGGCATTGAAAGAGGAAGAAGCCACACAATCCAAGGTATTATTAGTGATTAGCATTTCTAGTATGTATATACTGAACTCTTATAAAAACTTTTAGTGTCTGTTTGTTCTTATGAACAAAACCACATTGGACTATCTGTTGTTTCTACTGCGGAGAATCGAACCCCGTCTTTTAGCGTCCAAAGTCTGTAAACTTACCGTTGTCCTATCGGGAGAATTTATTGTTAGTAACAACAAATAGACCTGATGTAAACAACAATAGTGAGGTTTTAACGATACGAATTCACTTATTTTATTTAACAGTAAACGTTGTATTTAAACAGCATGATTTGGGATAATTTTCTAAAGGATATGTATGATGAATTATCTTTAGATCTTGACTAATACAATAAATAACCAACTTTTACATAGGCTAGAAATTAAGGTTATATATATTTAATATAAATGTTGCTACAAGTATTTAGTAAAAATGTGCACAATGAAGTTGCGCGGACAATTTGCCTGATAATTTCAGATGGACGATAAATGTTTGAGTCTAATAATACGCTTGAATTCGACGAAAATAGGCGTTAAACTATAAGACACTAATGATACAAAATCAACGTAAACATAACGCAACATTGATGATAAAGTTGAGTACTGTCCTAGAAAAAGTTACTTGTCATCCCATCATCATACCTGAAAACAGACCAATGTTCAGTCAAAACATGTAGTATGACTTCCCCCTCCCAAAAAAAAAATAATGAATCACTACGTTATGCTTATAAATCGTTGTTTGCCAACTTATTATCATCCCATTAACCAACAACAGGTAATGAGTTAAATACTGACCTTTAAAAAGCGATTCGGCGTGATCTATAAGTTAACACGGGTGGCACTGCACTTTTAACTGTGTATTAATTTATAAAGCTGGTACTTACATGCTTAATGTATTTCTATACTATAATTAAATCATCTTAATGGTTACTATAATATTTCAGGCTTACCAGCAAATTTTGGAAAAAGAAAAAGGTCTCCCTCAGAAGACTTTGAGTTTGGAGGAACGTCAAGAAGTGGCCATCATTGAGTTCAATGCCTCTACGTGTGCTGTAATGGAAAACGTAGGCCAAGTCGCTGTCACTGTTAAACGGCACGGAATAACATCCTCTCAAGTTTCTTGCAGGTAATATTATTTTAAAACTATATTACTCACAACGAATATTTTTACTCAAGACCAAAACACCGTCTTTCATGAAAAAATGAAGTTTAAACTTTGAGTTAAACATTTTTATTACATATCAGTGTTATTTTCTAACAATAAACACTGCTTTCAGTGAGTCTAATCGCAACTTCCAATCTTATGCAAAGATACGCTACATTTGGGCTCATCTAAAAGGAAAATGTCTTATATTTCCAAATATGTTTGCTGTAGAACTGTGAAGTAGTGCAAACATTATCGAAATTTTGGTCAAAATGATCCTTCCACAAATTTTTTTGGTGAACACACAAAAAGGGCAGATTTATCCATTATCTCAAATTATGAGCAAGATAGGATATATATTTATAAACCATGTTTTTTTTAATCCGTACGAGTCCAATTTTCACATTAAAATAAAATATTGCAATACAAAAGACCATCCATGGATTACAAACCCTTGTTTGAGTCAGTTATAGATATTTTTAAATATATATAAAGATTACTTTAAAACATTTACATTTTAGAACAAACACGTGTACTATGAAAATACAAGCACTATGTAAGAGATAATATTATAAAAAAAGCACCGTTTTAGAAGAAATTAAAATCTCTGTTGTCTCTTGAGTTTACTTGCAAATTACCATATGTGAGATTTCCATCATATTAAACACTAATTATAATTAACATGAAAACATAAATTTGGACTATCTCTTTCAGACTGCAATTGTAGAATAGCTTTTATTGCGAAAGCAATCTGACATGAATGAAGTTATAAGAACACTAATAATTGCAAACACACGCCTAGGAATATTCTCCAGAAGTTACAATTCCAGTTACTATCCATGCTTAACAAACTGACTGAACATTGGTGTGGTGTGTGAAGGTGGTGCAAGTTTATGAAAAAAGTTCACTGTCTTTCGGTATAACACCAGTGCAATCAGAGAATGTGTTTAAACTGTACACAACTTTAAAAGAATGGGCATGTTATGTTAGAGTTTTAATCATCTACACACTATGATCATTTGATGATGTATATCATAACTGATATATTCAGAAATCTTCTTTGAAAGAGAACATTAACATCATGTCTTTACTGCTGTAGTATTTAGACTAACTTACAAATGTTTATTAGATCATTATTTATGTACATTTAGGGTTTGCTATCTATGGTTGTTCTTGTTTTGTGGCATTAGTTTATTTAAATTTCAGAACTGAACTCACACGTATTAAAATGAACCATGCCGATTACAAAAATATATTCTCCTTTGCTCATAATTCGAAAAGTATATGTTAACCAAAAACATTCAGGTTGGGTCAGTTTGACCAAAATTTTAACAATGTTTCCACACTTCACAGTTATACAGCAGGCATATTTGGAAAGAGGGGATTTTTTTTTTCAAATGAGCCCAAATGCAGCAGTGTCTCTTTCATGTCCATCAAACTTATTTTTTGCAGCCTTCAGCCGCTCCACTATATAGTGTATCTTATATTTGTGTTAAGTAGATTTTTTGAAACTAAGTGTTTTTCTGACATCACGAATGGACCGATCTTACGCGAAATTCTTCGATCTCTTTAATGTTTTTGTAATTCTATTTCTTATTAAATGCACAAATATATATAATGTTTGTTGTATTTTGTGCACCTCTTTAAAATAAGTGCATTTTCGATTTTAACAACATACACAATGGCATACACTGGTCAAATTTATCATTTATCATACGTTATTTTCAGTATAATAATACGTGTACATAATGTCAGTCACGGCTAAAAATCAAACATATATATATGTACATATTGTCAGTCACGGCTAAAAAATTAAACATATATATGTATATGTACATAATGTCGATCACGGCTAAAAATTATACATATATATATATGTATATGTACATAATGTCGGTCACGTCTAAAATTCACTTATGCTTTACTTAAAGAATTTTCGACACTAACAACTAGTGAATTCCCATTAAAGTTCCAGCTTTAACTACGACGTGTTTTTTAATGAGTTCTACAATATTTCTTATAAAATTTCAAGGGATAGGTGTGGCTTAGTAGTTAACGTTTTGGGTTGCGAAACGTAAGGGTGAAGGTTCGAGCCGTGATAGCCGCTGAACATGCTCTGTACTTTCAGCTGTGAGGACGTTATAACAGTGCTAGTTTGTTTTTGAATTTCGCGCAAAGCTACACGAGGGCTATCTGCTCTAGCCGTCCCTAATTTAGCAGTGTAAGACTAGAGGGAAGGCAACTAGTCAACACCACCCACCGCCAACTCTTGGGCTACTCTTTTACCAACGAATAGTGGTATTGACCGTCACATTATAACGCCCCCACGGCTGAAACGGCGAGCATGTTTGGTGGAACGGGGATTCGAACCCACGACCCTCAGATTGCGAGTCGAGCGCCTTATCCACCTGGCCATGAACAGTGCTAGTAATCCCAATATTCAGCTAAGAATAGGCCATGGACGCTGCTCGTAGTTGCCTTTCTCTGGTCATTAGTTTTAATGTGGACTGGCCGTTTAGCCCACGTGTCGCATAAAGTGCCACTCAGGTTGAAAGTATTAATAAGTCTTAGTCATCACCTCTTTATCTTTGTTATATTAATCCTAGCCAAACTATTTTATCTACTTCTATAACCCCACCTTATTTGATACATAATTTGACATTCGTTCATTCATCCCTTGTATATTGACAATCAGTAGATTCAGTTATCAAGAAAAACACACCAGGGGGTAACTTAACATTGGTACAGAGTAGCTTAGCTTAAATTCTTGCTTTTCCTTAACTGTACAAGCGTTTAGATCAGAATAAAAATCCCATCCTATTTTCAGACTTTTGCCTATCAACCATATTTAAACCAACCTTTGTGGTGAGATGGGTGGACAGTAATTTATTTAGTACTCCCCCCTATGGCTCATCGGTAAGTATAAGGATTTATAACGCTAAAAATCGTGTTTAGATACCCGCGGTGGTAACAGCATAGATAGTCTATTGTATAGCTTCGTGCCTAACAACAAATTTCACCGTTCGTATCATATTCCACAATAGCAAAAAAAGTGACGTTTAAAGGCTCTGTCAACCACTTTAAAAGCTACAGTAAACAATTACTAACCTCTATGAAAAATTAAGTTTTCATTGTTACATCCTAGGGTAGAAACAATTGATGGAACAGCTGAGGCAGAAGAAGATTACGTTGCACTTAAGGAGATTCTGACGTTTGAACCAGGGCAGACACAGAGAAAAGTGTTTGTTCAGATTATTAACGATAATCAGTGGGAACCAGACGAAACCTTCTTCCTGAAACTTTCTCTTGATGAAGGAAGTAGCGGAGAAGTTGCGTTAGGTCGCACCTCTGTCATGGAAATTACAATACTTAATGATGATGGCAAGTAATAAAATGTCTTCACCGTCCTTCGATTATAAGAAACTGGTTAATTGTTCATCATAAATATAGCAGTACTCTTCCTGATAATATCTGGTAAAGCTTTAAATTAAAATGTATATTTCGAATGAACAATATATCGTATTAAGATGTGCACTTCTTAATGTTAGTAAGGAATAATTTGTTTCAATGAAAATGGGGAATTTTCTCTTGCATTTGATCTAATTGCTTCTTATAATTAAGATTCCTTAGAATACACTATGAAAATACGTGACAATAATGTTGCTGTCTGTCGTCTGAGAAGAAAATAAGATTCATTTTGATACAGATTTCCACATTTTAGAATTGTAATTTCTCATTATTCGCAATTAATGAATACGGTATATGAGGGATCATCAAACGTTACATCCTTGTTGTCTTAAAAACACAGTTTTCAGCAGATACTCATTTCCTGAATGTATAAAGTGTCCGTTTTTCTAATTGCACTGTAAAATATACTTTTAATAGGTATACAAATAAATTCAAATACAGTGTGTAATAAACCCAACGTTTACAATTTTTTATCACGATACCAGTAAAACTAATAATCTTTTACGTTTCCCCACGCAGAACCGGGAATTTTGCAGTTCAAGAGGCGTGGTATACTGGTCAAAGAAAATGTGGGCACAGCATATGTTCCAGTAATCAGAAAAAACGGTGCAGATGGAATTGTTTCTACCAGATGGAGAACAATTGATAAAAGTGCGATCAGTGGACGAGACTACCGCGGTGGAGAAGGTGAACTGATCTTTGATCATGGGGAGGTCGAAAAAAACTTGGAAATTGACATCATAGATGACATTAATCCAGAGAAAGACGAACATTTTGAAATAGAGCTCTTTCAGCCGTCAGGTGGCGCTCTGATCGGTCAGGTTAACCGAACAACTGTGACAATAACAAACGATGATAGTAAGTACATAAAATATATTAACAAATGATTAAAAAACGTAGGTAAAACATTATCTACGTTATGACAAACCCAGTACGATATTACCCTCTAGCTATGCAATGACGTCCTAAATGTTAAATAAACGGTAGTTCGAATTAAAAAAAAAGATCGCATTTCTTATCGAAAAGCAAATGTTGCGATATTACTAATAAAATACTTACAATAAAATGAAGAATTGCTTTCTAACTCATTTGTTGTTGTTTTTAGCTTCAGTAGTTTTATAGATTGTTGATTATTACAATACCGAATAAACATAAAAAACGTTAATAAAGCTACCTTATTAGATAACTGAATTATTCTGTCAATAGTACTTAAAGTATTAGTAGATTATTGAATATATATAACGTTATTAAACTTTTATTTATGCTTAATAGTATAGACGTGACAAATATAAACATTACACGATTCCAAGGTTTAGAATTTAGATTCCAAAATGTTGTAACAAAATGTATTATCATTATCCTACATTTTATTAAAAATAATATTGGTCAATATTAAAGCGAACTTTAATTTAAAAAATAACATTGGTCAATATTGAAGCGACCTTTAATTTCAAAAATAATATTGGTCAATATTAAAGCGACCTTTAATTTAAAAAATAATATTGGTCAATATTAAAGCGACCTTTAATTTAAAAAATAACATTGGTCAATATTGAAGCGACCTTTAATTTAAAAAATAATACTGGTCGATACTAAAGCGTTTGTGTAGATATTAGAATTATTACTTCTTACATTAATCATGGGATAATATTACAATTTTCATGTCACTTGCACCTTTTGGTGCATATGGGAAGAAAACACAATAATTATGCTATTTTTAACAGATAAAAGAAAGAATGTATAATACATCAAGATCCATATTTAAGTTTTAATAGTCTTTCGCACCTCTCTGTCTATATATATATATATATGAATAAATGAACAGCACAAGAAAATACTGGAGCAGGAAATACAATAGTAAAAATGGCAGAATCCATTCAACATCCTGGAAAAGGAGTTCATTACAAGTGGACTCTCTACATCTCACGTACACCCACACACTATAGCATGTTCAACCCAAGGACAGTCAAGTAGTGATATTGTGACGCAGAGGAATCATTTTAAATGCTTGTGATACATTGTTTTCTTTAAAGTCAAACAGATCTGCATGGTTAAGACCAAAGCTTGCTGCCTACATTAAAAATTAGTCCTTCAATAGGTGAGCGGTAAGTTTCCCGGCTTACAGTTCTTAAATCCGGGAGCAGATCACCTCGGTGAACAGAGCGCAGATAGTCTGTTGTGAGGCTTGCGCTAAAACAAAGAGATAAAATATTACCGTGTATCTGTGCCACTTGCGCGATACCAAATAATAATGTATAAAGACGGTAGTCTGGAAATACATTTATAATAAGGAAGGTTTTGTTTAATCAGTTGCATTTATATAACATAAATAAAATACGATTATTTTGTATTCATTGAAAATAAGTCATTACTCCAAAAACAGAGAGAATTTCAATGAATTTTAAAATGTTGAAAAAGATTTAATAAAAAAAAATTTTAATTTTAAAAAATCATTTTTCTAATATTGATCTCGTTTCGCATACGCAACTGAACAGCTAAGTAAAACGTAAAAAAAATCATTGATCTGTCCATTTTTGAGAAGCTTATCAATAAAGCTAATATCATGTGATACGTACTAAACACCAAATATTTGGTAACGATATTTAAAGTGACATATTGATAAAGCTAATATAATGTGATAATTACTCAGCTCCAAAGATTTGGTAACGATATTTGAAGTGACATATTGATAAAGCTAATATAATGTGATAATTACTCAGCTCCAAAGATTTGGTAACGATATTTGAAGTGACATATTGATAAAGCTAATATAATGTGATAAATACTCAGCTTCAAATATTTGGTAACGATATTTAAAGTAGCATATTTATAAAGCTAATATCATGTGATACTTACTAAGCTCCAAAGATTTGGGTAATGATATTTAGAGTGACATATTGTTTTTCTTTCAGTACGTAACTACAAAAAAGTTATACCATAGATGTTCGATAACTGACATGTTTGATTCTGCTTTGTGAAACAACGGAGCTTATAATGTTATCTCCGATTGTTTGTTTGTTTTGTTGAATTTCGCTCAAAGCTAAACAAGGGCTATCTGCGCTAATCGTCCCTCATTTTGAAGTGATAGAAAGAAGGCAGCTAGTTAACCCCACCCACTGCTAACTCTTGACCTACTCTTTTATCAACGAATAGTGGGATGGACCGTCACTTTATAAAGCCCCTATGCCTGAAATGGCGAAAATGTTCGATGATGGGATTTGAATTCGCGACCTGCAGATTGCGAGTCGAGTGCCCTAACCATCATACCAAATGTGATGAGTGTTTCATTGCAGGCTTCTTTTTTTCTGCATGACTTAACCTTTCTATAAGTATCAGTCTGTTATAGACGTAATTTATTTTCAGAAAATTTTTAATTTTAATTCTTTCATTCCGCCTTTATTCTTTAGACCATTAATAATGGCCACATTTCTTTACGTACAGATTTCAACAGCATCATGGACCGCTTGGTGGTGCTGACAAACGTTAACGTGGACTCATTGAAACTTCACTCCGAGACGTGGGCTGGTCAACTCAAGGATGCCGTTAACGTTAATGGAGGCGATCTGGAAAATGCCACTCGAATTGACTATGTTCTACATTTTCTAACCTTTGGCTGGAAGGTAAACATTACGAACTTTTATGAAGTGAAACTCATGATAAGTGTATCCTAAGTGAAGGCAAGTTAATGGAGAAAATGAAGTTAAACTATGTTTTGCTGAATTCGAAACTTGATACCAACGAGTCTCAAATCCCAACCATTCTTATGATTCTCTGCCGATTCTTACCCCATTCTTTACTTATTTTGGAACTTTGATGAACTCTTAAGCTACATATTAATTACTTAAAAGCTAGAATGTGACGAATTTAATAAGTTACCGAATAAGACGTGTTAAGAGTAATATATTGCTCTATGTAAAGTTGTACAAAGTTGTTCCAAAGAAACGAGCACTAAGACAAAGCAAAATGTGAAATTTGACAGCTTAGTATTTTGGAGTGCAGAGCATCAAAGTCATTCCCAATGCAACATAGAATGTTGTGTTTATAATATTACTACATGTGTAAAGAAATACAACGAACAAACTGATTCAGCTACAACGTACTCAAGATATGTAAAGGAAAAAAAAAGAGATTCAAAAGTTTAGGTTAAGTATAGTTTGAACGGTGTTGAAATCAAAGACGCTTTAAGCCTGAGTTAGTAAGCCTCGTTAAGATGGATACCACTGATCCGTCTAGTACAAATAATTAAAGGTTTCAGCCTTTTACGTTAAGTGTCTTTAACTAAAGTTGGTCATTCGGATAATAACCTGATATTTTTATGAATACTTCTAATTATTAATAAAAGATTTGTTTGTTAAACTTCACACAAATCTACTCAAGAGTTCTTTGCGCTATCCGTCCCTAATTTTGAAATGACAGACTATAGGTAAAGCAGCTAATCAACACCATCCAACTCTTGGGCTTCTCTTTACCAACGAATAGTGGGATTGACCGTCATATTATAATGCCCTAATAGCTGAAAAGGCGAGCATGTTTGATGAAGAGATTTGAACCCGCGACCCATACATTGGGAGTGAAGTGCCCTAACTACTTAATACTAATAAACAAAACTACCGTGAACTACAGAAAATCTTTCAAAGTTCTTTTCACGAGGAGCATACATTTTCACTGATGAACTCTATTGATAATTATATGCACCATACTCCAGTCAACATTACGTTATTTAAAAACGTAAACAAATTCTAATTACTAACAAAATTGAACGAAGTTGCTGCACTTAAGAATGTATAATATTTACTGTATGAAGAACGTCAAATAATTAAAAAAAATAATGGACAGAATTGTAAGTGTAAAACATAAAAATATAACGTAATATAAACAATCTAGTAACTAAAATGATTTACATTTTTAAAGTTAAATCCAAATCTCTTATTTCTCCAGGTACTTACTACTTACCGGAACAGTTATATTTCTCTTTCACATCAAATTAATATGTAATGATTGATTTGTTTTCTCAAAGAAAAACAATATTTATTTTATTATGCTTACTTCTACTCAGAGACATTATCATTCTTATGCTTACTTCTACTCAGAGACATTATCATTCTTAAGATTATTTCTACTCAGAGACATTATCATTCTTATGCTACTTCTACTCAGAGACATTATCATTCTTACGCTTACTTCTACTCAGAGACATTATCATTCTTATGCTTACTTCTACTCAGAGACATTATCATTCTTAAGATATTCTACTCAGAGACATTATCATTCTTATGCTACTTCTACTCAGAGACATTATCATTCTTATGCTTACTTCTACTCAGAGACATTATCATTCTTATGCTACTTCTACTCAGAGACATTATCATTTTTATGCTTACTTCTACTCAGAGATATTATTATTCTTATGCTTACTTCTACTCAGAGACATTATCATTCTTATGCTTACTTCTACTCAGATACCTTATCATTCCTATGCTTACTTCTACTCAGAGACATTATCATTCTTAAGATTATTTCTACTCAGAGACATTATCATTCTTATGCTACTTCTACTCAGAGACATTATCATTCTTATGCTACTTCTACTCAGAGACATTATTATTCTTATGCTTACTTCTACTCAGAGACCTTATCATTTTTTCTGAGTAGAAGTAGCATAAGAATGATAATGTATCTGAATAGAAGTAAGCATTTACATTATCATTCTTATGCTACTTCTACTCAGAGAT